GTTTTTGTTAATGAATTAAAATAACAAAATAATAAAGCGAACTTCATTAATATACCTTGTTGCATTTTATGTTTAGATTATATGTTTTTTTCAACAAATAGTGTCATGTTTTAAAAATAATCCATACAAATCCAAATAATGTTTTTTTAAAAACAATGCTATCTTTCAAAATATAAATAACACAAAATTTTTAATTTATTATAGTTTTATTTGATTTAAAATTTAAATATTTAAATATAACATTCATTTGGCCTAAACAGCCTTTTGCTGATTGTTTTTCAAAAATAACCATTATTGATAATATTTTAAACTGTTTTGGATAATATTGTATATGACCAACTGTGACTGTAGAAGGTAAAATCTCAAAATTATATGTAAAATAATATATTAATTTGAAGTTAAAAATGGTTTAATATATTATTAATAATAATTTAATATATAAAAAAAACTGTAATATAATTTATTAGAGTCAGTCTTTTAATTTTGTCCTTTCTCCAAACAGTAAAAAAACTGAAATATTGTTTTTCTCACGTTTCAAAAAATTTAAACATTCCAATTATTTATATTTGAAAACGAAAGACAACAGCTGAAAAAGGACAACGTTAAAAGACAGACTTTATTGAATGTATTTCAATTGTAATGTTTCAATATTATTTTGTAATTGTATTTAATCATGATTAGACATTTCAGTCTTTTTGAAAAAGGTATTTTCCCAAAAATGTTTTTTTTAAACAAAACACCGACAATTGACTTAAACTTTTGTAGGGATCTAAATATATGATCAAATTGAATTTTATTAAATTAAGTTTATAATTGTCATTCAAACGTTTTTTCAATATATTCGTGGTTTATCAAATTGGTTATAATGTTTAACAAATCATTATATTTTTAAAACATGAAAATTTCTATTTTTATCCAAAATTATCGATTAATTATAATATTGATTTACAAACATCTTTATTTTAATAAAATTAAAATATTTATTATTTTTGTCAATTACCAATTCACAAATTAAACAAAACAAATGATAAGTCAATTATATAATTAATGATTTCGAAATCATTGCAAAATAGGCCTATTTTGATATATTATAATTATTCAATAATTATTTTTTGTTATAAGTTTGTATGTTTTGTGTTTTTAATTTTTAAAACACAAAAACATTTATAATTGAATTTATTTGGAAACATATTTTTAAATGAAAACATTTTTGGAAATGATTTAAATTAAATATACATAGACTCAATGTCTGAAATAATAGTTATTAACAGTGTATTTATTTTTTTAAAATGTGTTTAATAATTAATTGTAAATAAAGACTATTCAAACTATCGAGAAAATGTCAATTAAAACATTAAAAAAACTAATGATGAAATAACAATGCTTCCAACACCATTTGTACACTTCTCGCTATTTTCGTCTTTACATGGATTTTCATAGTGTTCTTTGCATTAATCTAAAATAACATTTCCATCGTAATACCCATTAGTACATTTAAAAACACAAACATCTTTAACTGTGTCAACTAACAACTTTTCTTCACATTTTTATACGTTTCTTTGATTCAAATTTGACATTTTTGATGAGTTGAGAGACATTCAGTTATATCCAAGTCACAATAATCATTATTTCCATCCGATGTAGCTTTCATTTCTTCACAGTTTTTACACATTGGGTTTGGTTTTGTAACATCAATAAATTGCGTTATTGAGCAGTTCAATGTCATCACAACATTATCTCCAATTTTATTGGGTTTGAAATTTTCAGTCACAAAAACTCTTAAAGCCACCTTTTATAGAAGATCACTTAGGAATGTTTTTGGCACCTCATTTCCATAGAAATACAAGTTACTTTGTGATTCCAACGGGTCTAATAAAGTCTCCAATTTTCCATATAAATTAAGCGACTGTAATTTATTGGTTTGTTTAAAAGCGTCTTTTCCAATCAATTTGACATTTTCAGTACCCGACACCAAATTTCAACTTTGTCGATATTTTTAATATTGTTTATTGATGAACACTCTTTGAATGTAAAATCTGCAATTGCTAATTGTACATTGAGATCGACATCTTTGAGTTCATTTGCATTTTCAAATACATTTGTTCCAAACTCGAGAATTTGAGTTGATGGGAAAGTCACTACAGTCGACTTGGCATATTTGAAAGCTCCATTTCCCAATTTGGTTATTGAATTGCCAAAAGTTATTGTTGGAATTCTTATTTGTTCA